ATGCACCCAGTTCCAGTCCCTGCACTCATTACAACAGTTGCCGTTGTGTTATAGTTAATCGATAATTAGGTAAGGAAACTTATTGACTAAATTTATTCATCTGAATTGTGAAAGCATGAGTTTAATTCTGAATAGGTGGTTGGTTGCGTTGTGTCGCTGAACTGCTCACAAGTGACCCAATATTTACACATATTCTGAGTTTGCAAAGGTCAATAGATTTTCCAGACTAATAAACATCCCATAACAACTGCCAATCACGTAACAGATCAAGAGCTGGACATGGTCTCCCTCCTTCACAAGGTGTCAGAACCACAGTCACAATGAAAGCTGGACTGAGATGAAAGGATATCTGTTCTTTGGGAGCTTTTAACCCATAATTTATAGGGGCTGTCACGTTCAAACATCAATTTTCATTTATGGTGACTAAATTAGAAAATGGAAGGTTTGGATTTTTGCATCTAACCAATATGGCAGTACAATTTCTAAACACATGCTGCCAAAATTTACAGCACTTTCCTGCAAACTAGTGATACTTAACCAAAAATGGTAATTTCTGTTAACAGTCAACCACTTAGCTGGTCAGGGGTCATATGTGGGCTAGACCAGGTGAAGACAGCAGAATTTCTTCCTTAAAGGACATTAGTCACAGTCATAGAAATGTGCAGCACGGAAACAGACCCTTTGGTCCAACACGTTGATGCCAATCGGATATCCTAAATTAATCTCGTCCCATTTGCCAGCATTTGGCCCATATCCTTCTGAAGCCTTCCTTTTCATATACCCATCCAGATGCCTTTTAAATGTTGTAATTGTACCATCCTCCACCACTTCCTCTGGCAGCTCGTTCCTTACACGCACCACCCTCAGTGTAAAAAAGTTGCCCCTTAAGTCCCTTTAAGTCTTTCCCCACTCACCTTGAACCTATGCCCTCTTGTTTTGGACTCTCCTACCCTAGTGAACCAGATAGCTTTTACAACAATCATCGGTGGTTACATGATCACCACAAGACTAGCTATGTGGCTGACCACGGGCAATCATTTTGGACTTGCATTCAACACATTTAGCTGAGGTGTCTGTAGAATTTGGACCAAAACATTGTTACTGGAGAGAGGCCTGAGACTTCCATTGCTCATGCTGCAACGAAATTGCAGACAGCAGAGCTCCCAAGAAACACACACTCAATCAATAGCAGTTGTCACAGCTCGAAAGGCAGCCTAGCCTAATAGGGCTGACAACAAGCTTCCTAAAATGTCGGGGACATAGGCGCATGAGAAGATTTTTCAACACCACAAGGCTGTTCTGACATTCCATTAGCTCATGACCAATCTGTATTTTGCCTCCATAACTCTTCCTTCATAGAGTCATACAGCACGGAAACAGACCCTTCGATCCAACCAGCCCATGCTGACCATAATCCCAAACTAAACTAGTCCCACCTGCCTACTCCTGGCCTATAGCCCTCCAAATCTTTCCAATTCATGTACTTATCCATATGTCTTTAAAATGTTGTAATTGTACCCATATCCACCATTTCCTCAGGAAGTTCATTCCACACGCGAACTATCCTCCGTGTAAGAAATTTGCCCCTCACGTCTTTTCTTAATCGCTCTACTCTCACCTTAAAAATGTGTCCACTAATCTTGAAACCTCCCATCCTAGGGGAAAAAAACACCACAAAAATCTATCAAATTAAGTTTTGGCCTCAGTTATTTTAATCAACCCATTTGGACGTGCCATGACATATTCTCAGGGCAGGTGGGAATTGGACTTGGATCTTCTGGTCTAGAAGTGAAGACATTGCCAATCTCCATGAAAGCCCTCTCAACTGGCCCCTATCCTCCGCATCACTTTGGCACAAGAGTGTTCGCGATTTCCAATCCCCTCCTGTGTGAAGATGTGCTTCCTGAAATTGTCCCGAACATCTGATTTTAAAATTATCTCCCCTCATGTGAACTCCACAAACTAGAGGAGATAGATTCCCTTGTTCTTCAAACGCCTCAATCATCTTCCTGTGCCCTGCTTGTCCCTGTGCACTCTGTGGTTACACAATGCTAGTGCTATGATTTAAACCTGGCACCCACTGCAGGACTATTCCATAGGTCAATGGGATCAAGGGGAAGACAGAAACCCCCTGACGAGTAGCCTTGGTCTGTGCTCACCTCCCTCGAATGTTCTCCCTAACTTATCAAATTGTCACATTTTCTAAGCAATTTAAATATTTCAATCAAATGTCTCCAAAGTCCAATTAATGGCCACTTAAGAGTCTCATGCCATCACTGCTTTCACCCACATTGAAGGAAGGCCATGCCATACAGAAAGCTGACTTTAGGATCCCTGACCCAAGACTTACTTAAGGTCTTCAACAGCCTGTGGTGGCAGCAGTTGCAAGTGCCCTCCATTTTGGGGACAGCAGCTCTATCAGCCTCTCCAAGATAGAAACAGAGAGACACATAAAACGGGAGCAAGAGTAGGCCAGTCGGCCCATCGAGACTGCTCCACTATTCAATACAATCGTGAGTGATCCTCAATCTCAAGGCCATGCACCCGTACTCTCTCCATACCACTTGACGCCATCGCTGTCTAGAAATGTATCGAGAGAAACATAGAAAATGGGGACATATATTTCACCTTCAAGCTATTCCCAATACACAGTAAGCTTCCCAGCAGATAACACAGTGTGGAGCTGGAGGAACACAGCATCAGAGGAGCAGGAAAGCTGGCGTTTCGGGTCGGGGCCCTTCTTCAGAAATCCAGCTCCTCCAGCTCCACACTGTGTTATTTCTGACTCCAGTATCGGCAGTTCTCGTTATCTTGAAGTTTCCCAGCAGGACCAGATGTGGAGCAGCCAACTGAAACACTTAAACATCCACAAAGGCTTGGATTTTCACGCTTGTTGATGTTTCGACAGACAGGGAGTGGATATCCCTTCCTCTCTGCGTGTGGAGGCTGCTGTCTTTATGGATTGATAAATAAATAAATAGAGCAGTGTAGGAAGTAGCTTTTCAAGCTAAAGGCTCTGTGGCCCAGAGAAGGTAACAGCAAAATGGAAAGAAAACTAAAAATTGGGGGTGGAATAAAAGGTACAATCTAGAAAAACTTTACATCAAATGGCTGTGCAAAAAGAAATGGGGCAAGATATTATGCTTCAGATTCTGAAAGTAGATTCTGGAGAATATTTACTAATAGATGATTTAGAATAGAATATTATTTATTGTCACGTGTACTCCATTGTAGTGAAAAGTGAAAAGTTTTTACAATGTCTGCCTTTTTTGGTGCCATCTCTGGTACAAGTAGCTAGGTACAAATCATGGATACTAAAGAGGAATAAAAAGTCATTGCACCACTTTAGAGAGTTTAAAAAATAAGTTCGAAATAAGACATCATGAAAGGATTGACATTACAGTCAGGTAAAAAATTTCAAATAAACATTACCTTGTAGCAGCTCAGCGCGGGGCTTCCACACGTAGTCTGACAGCCCACACAGGACCCCAGTCCAAGATTCTTCCCCGCTCCGCTCCAAGTCTCTAGACCGCTCTGTACCAGTACTCAGCTGCTCCAATGTAAGTTCGAGGACAGCCTCCCCTACACCGGTCTCCAACTGGGACTCACTGCCCGCGCTTTCTGGGACTCACTGCTCTGGGACTTCCTGCCCACGCACTTCTCTGGGACTCGCTGCTCTGGGACTCGCTGCCCACGCACTGCTCTGGGACTTGCTGCTCTGGGACACACTGCCCGCGCGCTGCTCTGGGACACACTGCCCGGCACTGCTCTGGGACTTGCTGCTCTGGGGCTCACTGCCCACACGCTGCTCTGGGATTCACTGCCCAAACGCTGCTCCGGGACTCACTGCTCTAGGATTCACTGCCCACGCACTGCTCTGGGAATCCCTGCCCATGCACTGCTCTAGGAGTCCCTGCCTACACACTGCTCTGGCAGTCCCTGCCTACACATTGCTCTGGCAGTCCCTGCCTACACACTGCTCTGGGATCTCATGATTCGCGCGCTTCTCTGGGGCTTGATCCCCATGCACTGCTCCGGGAATCGTTCCCCAGTCCTGTAACTGCTCCAGGATTTGTCTCCAGGGCTAAGGAGAGAAAAAAAGAAAGAGAAAAAAAAAAGAAAGGAAAAGAACAGGCAGAGCAGGGGAGCTCCGGCAGTAGTGTCATTCTCTGCCGCCATCTTGCCGAACTGAGATGTGGAGAAATTTCTTCATCCAGAGATTGATGACATTGAATTGAAAATATTGATAACATTGAAGCCATTGCATATTTTCAGAAGGAGTTGATATATTTCTTAAGGCTAAAGGGCTCAAAGGATATGAAGAGAAAGCAGGATCAGGGTACTGCGTTGGATGATCAGCCATGATCCTACCGAATGGTGGAGCAGGCTCAAAGTGCCAAATGGCCTAGCCCTGTCCTTATTTTCTGTGTTTCTAATAGAAAGGTAGCATTCTCCTGCAATATCTGCTACTGAAAACGAACAGTCAATATTAAGACTTCTTACTGATTGAAATTTATTCCAAAAAAGAGAGCTTATTCCCAGGATTGGTTTAATCCAAAGGCATTACATTTCATGAAAAATTGAATGACATTCCAACTATTGTATTTCTCCATATAAAAGGTCTCTTATTGAATCATTAATCTTCCAAAGACTCCCAGTCAAGGAAGAGAAGTCCTGAGAGATTGCATCCACTGACCATCTTATTATTACCTTCATTAGCTGATAGTTTCTTAAAGGTTGGATGCATCATTCACTTTGATTTAATTAAATATTATCCTATTAATACCATATGAATGTCATGTTGTTTGTGCACATAAAGGTCAGTTGTGCACTTTCCAATCAATTGCAAAATTAGTTCAGTCCCTTATCACAAGTAACCCGGTCATTGGGAGAAAGTGACTGGTCCAGTATACTCACAAGCGCTATCAACCATTAACTAGAAGGGTCTTGCACTGTGTCAAAATATTTATTTATTTGTGCGTTTGATCAATTATTCTCAGAACGGTGAAATACACAATTTAGATCCCATTTTCTTGTGGAATGCAGCACCATGGACAAGCAACAATCGGCTTAATTTACAAGTTTTCTTCAACCTCAGGGTAAGTTAGCAATTTAAAATTGGATGTATTTGCTTAATTTCAGGAACAAGCAAAGTAGCTAACAAGATTTTAAGTTAATGTGATGTACTATAGAACCCTTTTGCTGCATTTGATCGATATTGTGTGTGGGAGCAGAGATTGTGAATGTTTGATTGCTACATGTTAAATTGCAGATCAACCCTGTTTCTTGGCACATTCCCTGTCATGCAGCATTTTCAAGGTAACATTTTAGCAGATTGGGTGATTCAATGAGTAGAACAAAAAAGTAAATTGTTCTACTAAATTGATGAATCAATGTAAAATAATCTATCAGATTTGAGGTCCCAGATAAAATTGCAGGCCTATAAACTTTTCACATGCACATTGCAAGCACTTTGTGGCCACTTCTCCATATGTTAGCCGTAGATCCAATTTGTTTCAACAACTATAAACAAGTAAGCACAGAAAGTGAAGATTAACTTTGTCTCACATGCCAAGACAACTTGACTGTTGGCCCTTTGTGATTTTGTTTTAAATTAGTATTTGGTATTACATTTATCTAGTACATACTGAAGTAATAGTTGCCTGGGAGTGATTATTTAGGAGGTAAACAGATAGTGAGTTTTACACAACTCCTAGTGCTGGCATATCTAAAGACTGAGGAGTCCACAAAATAAAGCAGCTCTCTGCCTTCTTGTTCACCCTCAACCTGATCCCCCTTACCACCCCATATTACAAGAGATGAATAAAGCATCGGGCAGACTACCCACCTTTATGCCTGTTGAAGTCCTGAACCAATTAACTGCTACAAAAGGCCCTCATTCCCTCTGAAGAAAAGTCATATTGGGCTCAATGTTCGTTGTTTCTCTCTCCACAGATGCAAGCAGACCTACTAAGTTCCTCCAGCACTTCCTGCTTTGATTCCACTCTTAGCTATTCTGTCACAGATAGAAGATTTTCTGCAATGCTTTCTATTCCCACACACACATTGTTAGCCTTGGCCCTTCCTATTTTTCATCTACACAGTATCACTGAGGAATATAATCTGAATATACATATCAAGATCCAGAAGCACATTGAGGAATCCAGTTCTCCCTACATCTGTCTTTGTGCTGGCAGACTGCAAGCATTGGAAGACTGAAACCATTGTTTTCAGTCCCACCACAAACTCCATTTCTTAGACGCTGATTCTATCCCACACCCCTGCCACTGTCTGAGGCTGATGTAGATCCTTTGCAACCTTGTCATCCTTCGAGACCCTGAGTTTCTGTCCCTTTATTTTCCATATTGCAGAGGGTGCCTTTGTAAATTGACCCCAAATCTGCTCCTGCCCCAACCCATCTGCTCCTATTATCCATGACATCAGTCATTCAGTTGTAATGAAATCAGGTACTGCTGCAAAAAGACACGTTGACATTTTGTCAAAGATTATCATCTTGGATTCATCAAGGCAATTCACAGAAAATACCATTGTGTGGGGAAACCAACATTCATACTGTAAGAGTGGCAAATGAACTCTGATTGGTGGTGGCAATGCCATGGAGAATGCACCGTTAGATGATGACTGACAGTTAACTGCCCAGCTTTGATTTTTTTTTTTTAAAGTCAGGTTTTAACTCTGATTTGCCAACGGCATTGCCCTGAGAAATTAATCAGAGAATGGCTGTCACTATTTTGTTGAGTTGAAACAGATGCAAAGAGTGTCAATGTTCTTTCTGTTGCAAAGAACAGGGCTCCATCTATTAATAAATGCTGCTTCCAGTTCACACAAGTACACCATGTGCTGGGCCTGGCTGGAAATCTGAAATTGGTTGGCACTGTAGTTATTAGCACACTCGGAATTATTCAACAAACGTTGTCCAATCTCAGCTAATGTTGAACATTGTTTTGAATTTAGTAAGAACAGGCTGCTGAGCACTGTTACGGAAAGCCAAAAGTATATGATGTTCGATACTGTCCATCAATCTTTGGGAAATACAGCCATCACACTGGAACTGATATTAATAGATTAAATTACTCATTTGTGTAGTCAACAGAACATCTTTTTGACTTAACAGCAGCACCTAGTTAGTAGCAAGTGTTACTCGTGTTGCTACTGTATGGTAGCAAACTGAAACAGTTAGGTTCACCTGTGCAAGCCTTTGAGATACCTTTCACTGCTGGGTTACAAATAAAGCATAAATCCATGTTTCTGTCTGCATGTGCATTTATCTCCAGCTGCAACAGATCTCAGTTCAGATCTCGTTTTAGGATTCACTCACAGATGAGGCAAAGTGCAATCTCAAGGCAGGAAGAAAACTTTTGTTTAAAAAGGGACAATTGTACAGTGACATAACCACTCTGCTATATCCAGCATTTTTAAGCGTACAGGTGGTAGGAGCGAAGACCAATGAGAAAGCTCTGTGACAGTGTGGTAATTGGAAGAAATTAAATGACAAATGGGATGAAGGCACAAGGCAGCAAAGATTGATGATGGGATAAGAATAGAAAGGACAGATCTAGAAGAGGTGTAAATGACAGTGATATAATCATTACCAATAGGAACTTCTGAATAAATGGAAGCTATAGTTATGATCTGAAATTGTTGATCTCATTGTGAGCCTGGAAACTGTGAAGCATTTATATAGCACCTTTTATAACCTCAGCAAGTCTGAAAGCACTTTAGATCTAAGGAAATGGCAGCCTTTGGTAAACCTCTTGGCCTCACATGTAATTGAAGTGGAACAGAACAGCAAACATGAAATACAAACATGTAAAACAGTTTTATCAGGGCTCCTGACCTATTTACAAACCCAGGAGGCTACTGTTTAGGTCCTACACAACATTACCTCTGTCATCATGTCTTAAAAACTTGATTGAGCTTTTTGAAGAGGTTACTGAGAAGATAGATGAAGGTGGAGTGGTAGATTTTGTCTGCATGGATTTTAGCAAGACTTTTGACAAGGTTCCACATGATTGATTGATTAGTAAGGTTAGATCACATGGGATACAGGGAGAGCTAGCCAATTGGATACAAAATTGACTTGACAGTAGGAAACAGAGAGTGGTGGCAGAGGGTTATTATTTGGACTGGGAGCCTGTGACCAGCAGTGTGCCCCAGGGATTGTTGTTGGGTACACTGTTGTTCATCATTTTGTATAAATGATTTGGATGAGAATATAGGAGGCATGGTTAGTAAATTTGTGGATGACAGCAAAATTGGTCATATAGTGGACTGTGAAGAAGGTTAGCTAAGAATACAACGAGATCTTGATCAGGTAGGCCAATGGACCAAAGAGTGGCAGGTAGAGTTGAATTTAGATAAATGTGAAGTGTTGCATTTTGGAAACACAAACCAGGGCAGGACTTACTCAGTTAATGGTAGGGCCCTGGGGATTGTTGTTTTAATCTTAGAGACCTAAGATTCAGGTATATAATTCCTTAAAAGTGGTGTCGACAGGATGGTGAAGAAGGCATTTGGTATGTTTGCCTTCATCAGTCAGAGCATTGAGTGCAGGAGATGGGTGTTAAATTACAGCTGTAAAAGATACTGGTAAGGCCACTTTTAGAATATTGTGTACAATTCTGGTCACCCTGTTACAGGGAGGTTAAACTGGAAAGGGTGCAGAAAAGATTTACAAAGGTGTTGACAGGACTGAAGGATTTGAGTTTTGAGGGGAGACTAGGATTCTTTTCCCTGGAATTTTGAAGGCTGAGAGGTGACATTATAGAGGTTTATAAAATCATGAGGGGGATGGATAGGATGAATAGCCAAGGTCTTCTTCCCAAGGTGGGGGAGTCCAGAACCAAACAGCATAGATTTAAGGTGAGAGGGGAAAGATTTAAAAGGGACTTGAGGGACAATTCTTTCACACAGAGGGTGCTGCATGTATGGAAGAAGTTGCCAGAGGAACTGGAAGAGGTGGGTACAATTACAATTATTTGAAAGATATTTGGTTGGGTACAAGTAAGAAGGGTTTAGAGGGATATGGGCCAAATGCTGGCAAATGGGACTAGTTCAGTTTAGGATACCTAGTTGGCATGGTCGAGTTGGACCTAAGGACCTGTTTCCATGCTGTGTGACTCTATGACTCCATGCCTGTTGAAGATTAAGAGATGATTGAGTTGAGATTTTTAAGACAATTAGATGATTTGATAGGGTAGTTAGTTGTTTTTGCGGGATAGATAGGGAGATGTTATTTCATCTGTTGGGGAAACTTAAAAATTCAAAGTAAATTAAGCTATTTGGCCCATTCAGCCCACTCTATTATTCAAGGTTATCATATCTGATCATCTATCTCAAAGCCATACACCTATTCCTGCAGTGACATGTAAGCCAGACCAGATAAGCACAGCAGATTTCCTTCCCCCAGGGACATCAGTGAAACAGATGGATTTTTAATCACATTTGACAGTGGCTATATGGTCATGATTAGTTTTTAATTCCAAGTCATATTGAATTCAAATTTCACTGTCTACCAGCCAGTGGGATTTGAACCTAGAACAAAAACTGAAGTTGCTGGAAAAACTCAGCAGGCCTGGCAGCATCTGTGAAGAAAAAAATCAGAGTTAATGTTTCAGGTCAGTGACCCTTCCTCAGAACCTAGTTCATTAGCCTCGTGTTCTGGAGAGCTGGACAAATGATGTTATCACTAGACTGAATGGCCTTCTAACATCTTTGTACACTATCAGTGTTTGAGTTGGCTCCTATCAATCCAGGATATGTGTATCTGATGCAATTGTTCTTAGTGATTCTGGAAGAGACAATTAGACAGGCTTTATATTGGCAATCCCTATTGGAATTGCCTGTATGAAGTTGGTGGATGAGGTTTGATATATATTTGGGGTTTAATCCCTGCTCCATGCTGAGTTACTTGATCTCGGCACCAGTATAACACGGTTTTGCCAACTCTCATTGTATTCATTCCTTGAGGTTTTGTCACATAAACACCTTCCAAGCCCATCAGTCAAAAAACATCCTTTTTCTCCATATCCAATAGTTTTAATAAGCAGAAGTTTCAAAAGAAAACGAAAATGAAAGT